GATCTTGCACTCCTTCGTCCCAAGGCTCAAGGCCCGCCTCGTGCACCCAGTTGGTGTGCCTCGCCCGAGGGTGTTGGTCCTGATGCGCCAGGAACTCCACGCACCACTTCACCGTACGTGGCCCCATGATGGGCCACCCCGCCCAGGCGGACTCCGTCAGCTGGAGGACGCCCCGCGAGAAGCTGAGGTGCTGCACGCCCTTGCTGTCGAGCATGAGCGGCAGCAGGCGGGGGTCGAGCTCGAAGTCGGAGCCCGGGGCAGCTGGGTCCACAGCGACTGCGATGATCAGACCGCCGTTGCGCCGCGCCAGCACGTAGTCGCCCATCCTCACGTACGTGTCGACCTTGGTGGAGGTCAGCTGCCGCTTGTCCGTGCTCCCGTCCGTGGAGGCCAAGCCGAACCACTCCAGGGGCGAGACATCGGGCAGCTCCTGACCTCCAGTGTCGACGTCAGCTGCTGGTGCTACTGTCGCCTGGGTGAGGGTCCCTGGGGTGGCCTGCTTGCCTTTCAGGCGTCGCCGCCCCCCATATCGGTCACGGTGTCCTCGGGCTGGACGAACTCCAGCGCCTCCGTCACCTCGAGGGGAGAGGGCACCCAGTCGGCGCCGCATGCCGCACTCCGAGCTGACCACTTCTTCCCCTCGTTCGAATCGGGGATGATGGAATCGTCGTTCTTGAACGCTACGAGGCCCGCGATCCCGCCGTCCATCAGTCCATCACCTCCAACACGTGAGGGTAGATGTCGAGGTCTGGGGTGAGGGCGTACCAGATCCGCCCCGCTGCTTCCTGTGCTGGAGTCGCCGCGGCTCCGCCTTCGGACTCGGCCTCGGCGGCGGTGCACCTCATGATCAGGATACGGTGCTCCCACGAGCCCCGGATACGCCACTGCACTGCGATGCGGCGCCCCGGGCGGAACACACCAGCCATAGCAGCACACCGCCAGCCCGAGACCTGCGAAGATGCCCAGCAAGAAACTCAAGAGGAGCCCCAGCCAGGCGTACTCCACAATCTGACTCTGGAAGAAGCAGCTCTTAGCGGCGTCCAGCGCCGGCAGTATCTGAGCTCTCACGGAGCTAAAAGCAAAGAGTGGTGAAAGGTTGCTGATCACTGTCAGCGCTGACTGGGGAAACATACAGGTATCTGGAGGTGGCCGCCTTTGAAAGCTTGAGCAAGAGCGATGGCAACGGCATCGCGTCGGCCAGACGAGCGAGCAGGAGCAATCACGTTTAGAAAACAAAGCAGGAGGAGGAGGAAGAAGAGGAGGATGAGGAGGATGAGGAGGAGAAAGAGAAGGAGAAGGAGGAGGAGGAAGAGGAGGAGGCGGAGGAGGAGGAGGAAGATGAGGAGGAGGAGGATGAGGAAGAGGAGAAGGAGGAGAAGGAGGAGGAGAAGGAGGAGGAGGGGGGAGATGACGACGAAGAAGAGGACGAGGAGGAGGAAGGAGAGAGGAGGACGAGGACGGACGCAGGATGGAGGTGGCATGGAGGAAGAGGGAGGAGTGCGGAGGAGGAGGAGGAGGTGGAGGACCAGGAGGAGGAAGCGGAGGAGGAGGAAGAAGGAGATGAGGATGAGGAGGAGGAGGAGGAGGAGGAGGAGGAGGAGGAGAAGGAGGAGGAGGGAGGAGGAGGAGGGAGGAGGAAGAGGAAAAAGAGGAGGAGGAGGAGAACACGGAGGAAGACGGAGAGAGGAAGACGAGGACGGACGCAGGATGGAGGTGCCATGGACGAAGGGAGGGAGGAGGAGGAGGAGGAGGATATAGCAGGGACAGGGAGGTCAGCAGAGGGAAGGACGGACAAGGAGAGGAGGGAACGATAAGAGGAGGAGTAGGGAGAAAGAGGAGGAGAAGGCGGAGGAAGAGGAGGAGGAGGAGGAGGAAGAGTGGGAGGAGGAGAGGAACTGGAGGAGGAACTGTAGGAGGAACAGGAGAAGGAGGAGGAGGAGGAACAGGAAGAGGAAGAACAGGAGGAAGCGGAGGGAAGAATAAGGGAAGAAGAGGAGGGAGGAAAAGGAACAGGAGGAGTGAAGATAGGGGGAGAAGGAGGAGCACGAGGAGTAGGGAGGAAGGACGAAGAGGGAGGCTAGAGGAAGGAAGGGGGGTGATGATGAAGATGATGAGAAGGTGAAGGAGGAGGTAGAAAAGGAGGGGGAATACTGAGGAGGCAGGAAGGGGGAGAAGGATAACGATAAGGGGGAAGGATACAGCAGGAAAAGGAAGGGGGAGTAGGGAGGGGGACAAGGCAAGGGGATGCCAGATGTTTGCTGATGCTCGATGTTCTGTATGGCCAAGGCAAAGAGATGTCGGATGCTTGCTGATGCTCAGCGTCCTTCTTTGCAGCTATGCTGCGGGTACCCTGCGTGCTGCTCGGAGCCGAAGCGCACTGAACGCACCACTCGTCCCCACGACCAAAAAATATGCTTCTCAGATGATTGCAGCTCCTGGGTGCATGGCTGCGCCACGAGCGGTACTGGCCGTTCCCATCGTACTGGTGAGCGGCGGTGATGGATACGATCAGGCTAGGCTGCTGCGAGCGCGAACCCCGTCGCACTGGGCACGAAGGCGGTGTTGAAATCGCACGTTATGGTACGCCGTGCCCTGGCAGTGTCATCCTGCAGACAGAGGAGCCGCAAAATGCGCTGATGGTGCAGCGAGTGGAACCGTACATCGGCAAAATGTTGCACCACTTTTGCCGCGCATTGTCAACTATACTGCATTGCTCCTCCCCCCATCGCCCCCGATCTTAATAGTGGGCACGTGGCGAAGAGCCATTGGCCCTCCGAGGGCCTCTCGGCAAAATGTTGCACCACCGAGCTGCTTCGATGAATCCGGACCGCAGCCAAGATTCAGATTTGGGGGGATGGGGGCTAGAAGCGAACATCCAGTGCAAAAAAGGCGTGCACTCTTGAGGACACCAGGTGGTGCCACATTGTGTCGGTGTACCGTAAATTGAAGCAAAACCTACTGAAAAAATGCTGCTGCTGGATGCGATGGTGGTGTTGTGAATGGCACTGCTGGGGTCCACCGTGGGATAAACAGTGGCAAACAGCAATGATGGTGCTGAGTGCGCGGAGGATGCTGCGAGTGGGATGCTGTTCCAATCGCGTGCGCTGCTAGAGGAGGCTGTGGGGTGGCGAGTGGTGCTGCCGATCCCAGTCGTGCTGGAGCTGCTGGATGTGCTGGCACTGCTTCAGCAGGGTCTCTCCAATTCCCTCATGCTGGTGCCAATGGTGATGCTGAGTGTGTGTGTGGTGGTGCTGCTGCGAGTGGTATGGCGAATCCTGTCGAATTAGCCGCAATGGTGCTGCAGGATGCGTTGTTGGTACTGCGAGCGGTACTGTTGCTTCCCATCGCGCTGGAGCAGCATTTTGTCCAGATGCGATGTTGCTGCTGAGAGTTGTGCTGATGGTGCCCATCGTACTGCATACATCAATGCTGTCAACACTTTTCCCCGTCGTGCCGGAAAGACTGTGGCTGCTGGATGCGCTGATGGAGCGGCCACCAGCGCTGACCAGGACCATCGTATTGTAAACCACTATGACGATGCTGAATACGCTGAGGGCGCTGCGAGTCGAATGCTGACTCCAGACGTGGCGGGAACATGTGTGCTGCTGATTGTGCTGCTGGATGCGGTGGTAGTGCTGTGAGCTGTTGATGCACGCCGTGCTGGAGCTGCTACCAGGCGACGAAGCCGACGCTAATGGACACGCAAATGAAGAACCCGAGAAACTCAGAAGGCGCTGTCAGGGTAGCGGACAGGGCCGAGAACGATGGAGTCGGAGTTCGGGTAGGCAGAAGACGCAGGGACAACAATATAGCCACGACCGCCAGCGGCTCAGCAGAAGCGAATCTCAGCGAAGCCAGCGTCGGACTCGACGGTAAGCACCATCACCTTCACGCTCGCGACAGTGCGGGTAGGCGACGCCATCACCGCTGCAGACGTGCCGAAGTCGGGCGCACGCCCTGCAATCCTCGTGGAGCAAGTGGCTCATAGATTGACGTATGAGTGACAGCGGGGAGCCGATGTCCAGGAAACTGCGCAGGCGCACCACGTTGACCGCACAGCAGAGCACGCACGTGGATGCCGCTTGCCTGCACAGGGTCGCGTCGTCCATGCTGACGCTCAGCATGCCGTTGGCCATGCCGTAGCGCTGATTGCCTACCAGACCACCCCGACCAGAAGACCCAGGTTTCGGTTTGGGGGGGTACAGGTTCTATATGTGTTTGTTGAATGTTCGCTGACCCCTCCCAACTGGAAATGGAGGGTCAATTTGGGCCTTCGGGTTGGGCTGGGGTGGTTTGGTGGTTTGGTGGTTAGTGTGAAACGCGAGATCGGCTGTCCCAAGCGCCCTCCCTGCCATCAGACCGGCGGCGGAAGTAAGGCTCGATCGAGTCGCACGCCGTCGCACGGCACCCGAGGACGCACGGGCTGCGCATGCGACGGTCCGTTGTCCATCTGTAGAAGATCGTGCGCATCGTTGCCGCGCATACAGCCGAAAATATGATAAAGAAAATGAGCATGTAAGGAAGCTGGGCCAGCTTCCTGGAAGTTTTGTAGCACAATCCTGTGCAGCTTTCTGTTGTTAACGCTGTAGGGCGAACGCGCCCAAGAAACCGGGCCAGCTTTCCGGCAAGTTGGTGACGACACGCTGGTCCAACTGTTCGGGAGGAAATGTCTTAAGCATATGCTCGACTGTAACCTGGCTGGGGCCATCTGGCGCAAACGCCCCAATTGACAAGCGACCCGTTTAGCCGTCCTGCCTGGGCAGTCCAGAAGCTGCCAGCGCGCCAGTCTCGTGCGGAGGCGCCACTCCACGCCGCAGTGATTCTGCTCCAGCATCAGCTCGGTGAACCACCGCTGCGTCCCCATTCGAATCGCTGCTCTGCCTGGAGCGCGAGCAGGCCTGGAGGAGGAGAAGGATGAGGAAGAGTAGGAGGAGGAGGAGGAGGAGGAGGAGGAGGAAGCGGAAGAGGATGAACAGAAGGGAGGACGGCGCTCGGAGCGC